ATACGCTTCAGGTTCCTTTCCTTGGCGATAATCAAATCGGCAAAACCAGCAATTTGGTACTCCCTCCGTCCCCCTGTATTTGTCCACATTTGACTTTTGGAACTGTTCATCTAAGCACTTTGACTCATCAAATTCTCTCAATGTGTAAGCCTAAATATAGTCATGTGTGATCTTGTTTGATTTGTCTTAACATATAGATTATTAATATATAATTTCTATAATTTTTTAATATACAAATTACAAGATAAAATGGATTAAAGAAGTGCATTGGATGGTGTGTAAAAATGAAAGTAGACAAATACAGGGGGACGGAGGGAGTATAATATATAAGCAGGTCTACCATTTCAAAGTGCTCCTTTCTCCAATAATCTGTATTTAAAAGACAGCATACTCCCAAAATAGTGAGTATGCTGTCTCCTGGAGCCTATGCAAAATAGTGAGGTATTTACCTTCCACATCATTACAACACCCATTTATTTCAGCACCTCCGATCCACACCTTCTACATTTAACAAACTTCACTCTATCTGTTTTAAGTTTGCTCATTTGTAATGGTTTATCGTGCCATATGTTTATAGAGACAGGAGTACATCCATAGTGACTGCTAGCAAAGCTACCCCCGCTGCACAGACCCAAGAGGATCCCATAAAGAACAACACGAATGAAATGAGGCTCTTGAGGTTTTGGTCTCTCTTCAACCAAAGAATTTCTGTTTCCTAATCCGTTCTTTTTAATTAAACCGAAACACTGAATATTATTCCTGTGACAACATCACTGATAGTATTGGATAATTTCATGAAGCTTGCGGCCTAGCATTTGATTGGGGTGCAATTGGTACGTTTGCATGCCAATGAAGACAAAGAGGAGATGTTATTTTGCAAAAATCAGGTATGTGGATCTTTAAAACAGGAGGTGTGGTGTCTTAGATGCGAGGTTAGTAAAAGGTGTGTGTGTATATTGGTACTTGCATTCCAAAAGTGCAGCAAACTATGGCCTCACTTTCCATTGGTTAACTTGGGTTTCTTATTGAGAGTGCAAAGGATTTTGTTTTGTTTTTGAACTCATATTAATAAATAATGTATTATTTATATAATGTTGGTTTATGTGCTGAATTTTATAGAAGTTAAGGCTTAATGGGATGATGAGTTTATGAATTTACGTTCATGTTCATACTAAATGTTGTGTTTCATTTGATGTTTATGTGAAATTTCACTATTATTTGCTCAAAATCCTGATTGATTCATATTTTTTTGAAAAAATCTACACTTTTTTCACATGAATTACATGATTTTTTGTGCTCCTAAGGTGTTGATATGCTTGGTTCGACTTGAATATGAATCAACTTCGAATTTTTCAAGCAAAACATCATAGCTACCCCAATTAGAGTATGGTAAGAAATGCTGTAGGGGTTTTTGTTGTAAGATTATCCCTTTCCGACCATTTTTAATATGAGTATTTTATTAATCTATAAAGGTTATATACACTTCATTAATTTAAAACCAACAAATTTAAATAAATTTTTTAAACAAAATAGACCATTTTTCCCTTAATTGCTTTTAACAATAAAAAATTTCTTTACATTCTAATACATATGAATCATTATTAAAACTACAACTTTAATATAAAAAATCAATCATATATAATACTTAAAAATATTAATATAGCACAAACAGTATAATTATTAGGATATTACAATAAATAAAATTATCTTTTAATTCAACATATAAATTTATTCAAATAATGTTAAAAATTTATATGATAACTCCAAAGTTGTTTAAAAGTTTATGTTAAAATTTATAGTTTAACTTAAAAGTCATTTGATTTGAATGTTAAAATTATCTTTGCCATCACACACTAAAAATAGAACTTAAAAATGTATACTTTTGCCCCCAAATTTATAAGGTTCTCAATTTGATTTTTACAATGTTAAAACAAGTAAATTGTTTGAACTACTTTATACATAGTTATAATAAATTATGGCAAAGGTAAAAAATTATACACACTCCATCTGCAACATTCTAATAACAAAAATGCTATACAATGAACAAACGTTTTAAAAATGTTAAAGAAACCTAATCAAACAATGATAAAACTCAACCTGCCTCAATCCGACAACAAAAAACCCCCTCAAATAGATATCAAGGTAGGAAAACCATACAAGATTACATCTGCGAGGCCCACATTCGGGTAATAGCCTTTCCACTAGATCAACGTAAGAATTACACTCTCAATCTTCAATAGATCCTTCTAATCTACTTACGAGATCTGACAGCAAGCTCGGTTTGTGTCACTACGAGGCCTATTACACCTTCTTCTTGCTCTGCACGAAGGATGTGTTACTGACCCTTGCTCAGCTAACCAGGTTGCAACTGCTGAACAATCTCTAGAGAAGATCCATGATTGATCTTCTCATGCAAATCTCTCACAGTTTTGTTTTGATCAGAACAGCTATGATCTCACGCTCTCTCGTCTGATATTATGAGTATTATTCTGCGTGCTCCCTTTCATCCAAGGGCGTTTCTTTTTATATGATGTCCATAACCCTAGTGGAGTTAGTCTGGAACTCTTACGATGATAAGCTTGAGTACTAGACAATCCTAGCGCGCCATGACTTCTTCCCGTAGATGCATCTGATATTAAGCACGTGACCTGGAGATAATCAATTGGTGTAGATCCTCTTGATGTTGGACACCTCACGAACTCCTCTTGACATATAAGTCTCCATATATTCATAGTCCATACTGTATAGAAACTCTATACCATGACTGATAGGATGCTACAGCTCTTATCTTAACACAGACATGCTACCATTTCTACAGAAGGGTTTTGTCAAAAAATAATGCCAACATAAACTATATTAACGGACACTAGTTGGAGCTAAAAATCTCCCCCTTTGGCAATTTTTTGACAAAAACCACTATTCAGCCGTTTTTGAACCTCTTCTCTCCTTTTTTGCATAAAAAATGCCAAAGATCTTTTATTGAGAAGTACAGATTATTGTTGGGGGCAAAAAAAAGAAGAGTAATATTCAATGCGGTCAAGAATAGGTACAATAAGAAATCAAAAGAGAGGATTCTAAAGAGCTGTACCTACATTAGTCATCATAGAAAGAGCCAAGTACCCATGAAGGAGGGTAGGCTCGTGTAGTATCATGTCTTCACAACATATGCATGTAAGATTAGAACCAGAATGTGTCACAAAACAGAACTTAGTATGGAGAGGAATTAAACCAGTTCTCCATCAGGCAAGGTAGCAAATCATCCCAAACAAAACCAAACATGCAATGTTTTAGCATAAGAAATAGGGCAGAACAACCCTTTCCACCAAAAAATGTGTTTTAGAAGAACTGAATCTGCAATGTTTACTCCTCCGAGCTGTCATCCTCTTCTGATTTCTGAGTGGCCCCCTCTGATTCTGATGATAAAAACTCCTCTTCACTGTCTCCTAGGCTTTCTTCCTCTGAATCTGGACGTGCAGCAGCTGCTCTGTGCTTGGTTAGGCTCCCCCTGTCTCTGTGCACCCCTTGTTTGTCTCAGGGTGTGGGCAATGTGGATGAGCATGTTCCTCCTTTCTGTGGACCTTTGAGCAATTTCTTGGTGATAATCCGCATCCATCTGAAGTGCTTTAATCTCCTTGTCCAGAAAATTGAGATGTATCTCAACAGAGAAGGGATCCTGGGCTGTGCCTCCAGATGCTCCAGTATCTACCATGTCATTGAAGTGGCTTCCTTCCAAGTGCCTACTATCAACCTGCAACAAGGAGGGTATGGGTTCTTCCTCTTCATTTTCCTCCTTCTCAAAACCTTGATCCCTCAGAATGCTGTAGACTAGCAGGGGGTATGGAAGGCCATTCTTGTTTTTCTTGAATTTGGCAGTTGCAAAAGACATCACCTGGTCAAACACAGTTCTTTCCAAATCAAGTGGAGCATGATTTTTGATTATATAAAGTAGAGTGGCCATGCAGAGGGGAACTGTGTTAGTGTGTGTGGTGGGCAGCCAGTGGAAGGCAGCAATTCTGAGAAGTAGGGCATAGGAGCTTTTGAGCACAGAGGATGGTACTTTGGTTTTCCCATGCTGGTAATCCCTAAGGCCATTGGTAAGGTCATTCCACACAGTTTCTTCAGCAATAAGTGTAATTGCAGGATTTGAAGTAGTGCCAAGAAAATTGTTGATTACAGAGGGTGAGAAATCATAGAGCCTTCCTCGAACAAAAACTTTATGGTAAGAGGGATCATCAACATCAACACATGACTCAGATAAGTTGATGTAAAACTCTTGAATTACTCGTTTCACAAATGAACCAGGTAGAGTAACAGATTTGAACAGCTTGTTTGAATGAAGTATGGACAGAAGATTTGTTTTCTTGCTAAAGTCAGGCACATCAAGATTCCTTTGCAGTATAATTTATTTCTTCACAATATCAGTAAAAAGGCTTTAGTAGTAAGAGAAGTGAAGAATTTAACCGAGGGCTTCCCTGTACTGTTGCCTGGTTTGGTGGCTTTTGAGCTTCTAGTCTCTCTTCCTTGTGCTGATGAAGATGGACAACCAGCAGAGGATTTTGCTTTCTTAAGCTTCTGGTTCTCTCGCTTTTCTCTTCTTCATCTTCTTCTTTTTAGTCTCAGACTCTTGGGCTTCCAGCTGCTCATTTGTTGGACCTTCTGTCACCTGAGTCGCCTTGGCCTGTCTGAGAGACCATCGGGTGGGTCCAGAGACGTTCTTCCTTTCAGTGTTGTCTTCATCAGATCTGGGTAAGGAATCTTGAAAAGGGACTTTAGAGCATGCAACTATTGGGTCTTCTTCAAGGATTTCCACCATAATTTCTTCTGCACAGTGCCTTTCTCCAGTATTAGGGTTTTGTGATGACTCTTTCCTTTAGGGATTCAGTGGAGTATACTCCAAGAGTAACACTTCGGTTGACTCTAGGATTGGAAGATGCAGACCATCGTCATCTGAGAGAAGGGGCAAAGCTGCTGATTTACCTGCTGTTTTAGATGATGTTGGAGAGGATGATGACGATTCACCCTTTGAGAATAGCTTGGTCCAAGAGGGCCTGAGGAACGTCTTCTTCTTTGCCTTTGATTTTCCTGTCCATCTTTGGGGTAGAGCCATTTTGATACGCACCATGGTATTAGCGCACTGTGATTTCTTGATTCTTCTTGGTGCGTTTTAGATTCAAGCGCTTGATTAGGGATTTCTCTCTCTGGACACACGCTAGATTAGGATTTTTGATTTTTGAAACTGAGACCCTTCGGTTTCCAAGTCAAGCATGCGTCTTTTACAATGCATTGTGCCCATGCATTTTGCACGCCTCCATTAGGTGACACATGTCAATATTTTAGCGGATGAGTGATAATTTGAACACATTAGCTGACAATTTGTGTTCAAAGTGATTTATGTGACATATTAATAAGGTGCACATAGACCCAATTTGGATATGAGTGTTTCAAATCTGCTTCCATCCAACGCCTTTGTGAAAATATCAGCCAGTTGCTCTTCTATATCAACATGCTCCAGACTAAAAAAAATTTCTTCAACTAATTCTCGTATAAAATGATGTTTAATGTCAATGTGCTTTGTTCGAGAATGTAGCACAGGATTTTTTGACATACTTCTTGCACTTGTGTTGTCACAATATAGTGGTATTGTCTTCGGTTGTATTCCATAGTCTGAAAATACTGACTTCATCCATAGTAACTGTGCACAGCAACTCCCGGCTGCAATATATTCAGCTTCTGCAGTAGATAAGGACACTGAGTTTTGTTTCTTACTTAACCAAGCAACCAAATTTTATCCTAGGAAAAAACAACCCCCAGATGTACTCTTCCGATCATCTATATTTCCTGCCCAGTCTGCATCACTAAATGCTGCTAGTTGTGCTGGACCACCTTTCTCGTACCATAAACCCAAGTTTTGTGTGCCTCTGACATATTTTAGTATTCTTTTGACTGCCTTGAGGTGTGACTCCTTTGGATTTGCTTGGTATCTGGCACATACTCCCACACTATAACAGATATCTGGCCTGCTAGCAGCGAGGTACAGCAGGCTTCCAATGATACTTCTGTATTGAGTCTTGTTTACTGATTTACCACAGTCATCCTTGCTGATCTTTTCATGTGTAGGACAAGGTGTTCTGGCACTTTTACAGTCACTCATGTCAAATTTCTTCAGTATGTTTTGTATGTACTTTGCTTATGATATAAAGATGCCTTTTTCAGTTTGCTTGACTTGTAATCCCAGGAAGAAAGTTAATTCTCCTATCATGATCATCTCAAACTCCATTTCCATTGTCTTGACAAACTTGTCAACATGCTGCTTTGAGGTGGACCCAAAGATAATATCATCAACGTATATTTGAGCAATGAGGATGTCTGATCCGTACCTTTTATAGAACATAGTGCTGCTTCACCCCTTTTGTATCCTTCCTTGAGGAGGTAAGTAGTCAGCCTCTCATACCATGCACGTGGAGCTTGCTTCAGCCCGTAGAGTGCTTTCCTCAATCTGTAAACATGATCTGGATGTTTTGGATCTTCAAATCCTTTTAGTTGTGAGACATACACTTCTTCTTTAAGATAGCCATTTAGAAATGCAGATTTCACATCCATCTGGTAGAGTTTCATGTCAAGAATGCATGCCATGCTGATTAACATGCGAATGGATTCCAGTCTTGCAACTGGAGCAAATGTTTCTTCAAAATCATTTCCCTGGACTTGTGTGTAACCCTGGGCTACCAGCCTTCTTCAAAATCATTTCCCTGGACTTCTGGTTTTGGAATCAGTTCTCATACATTGTTGCATTCGAACTGTCCTAGCTCTTCTTGCATAGCATCTATCCATGGTTTTTCTTTAAGTGCCTCTTTTATGTTCTTTGGCTCAACTGAAGAGGTATAGAAGGCATTTATCATCTGAACAAAATCTATCTTTTTTTTCCGAGTCTGGATGCCTTCTCTTGGGTTCCCTATGATATTTTCTGGTGGATGATTTTTGTGCACATGTGTGGGTATCCTCGTTGACTCCTCTGGTGTTCTTATCTATGTTCATACTAGCTTTTCTGGGTGGATCATCTATTTTGGTGTTGACGTCACATCCAATTCCTTGCCTGTCTCCTGGTGCTTTGAACATTAATTCCTGTGCATCCAGTACTTCAGCCCCAGCTATCTTCATCCACTTGATGTAGTCTTTGAGCTTTTGCAGTTCAAACTTTAGATCTGCATTCTCTATTTCTACTTTTTCTAGATTCTGCTTCTGAACTTTTAGATCAAGTGTCAGCTGATTCTTCTCTGCTATATTCCTTCTGTTAACCAAAAGCAGTTCAGTCCATTTTTCCTAAAGGTCCATGTGCTGCTCAATTAGATCATCTGACTCAGATTGTAAGACAAAGGCACAGTTGCTTTCTCCACAACCTTGATCTTCGTCAGAATCCTCGTCACTCCAGGTAATTGAGAATGCTTGTCTTTTCTTTTTAAGGTTGTTTGCACACTCAGTCTGGATATGCCCGTGTCCACCACATTCAAAGCAGAGTGGGCCTTTGTACTTGGTACTGTTATCATAAGATTTTCCTTCTTTGAAACGTGACTCCCTGAATGTGGATGTCTTAGAAGGTCCTTCTTGACTTGGGTTCTTTCCCTTCTTTTGAATCCACTTCTTCTTGAACTGCTTTGTGAATAGGGCAGCTGTTCTTGGAATTCTTCATCAAATGATAGAGCATCTTCTCCATCACCCTCCAGGTCTGTTCCCAGAAAGGCGGTTTGCTTCTCAGGTTTTCTTCTCTTGCTATCCTCTTTCATGTTTAGTTCGATTATTACAAGATTACCCATTAGAGCATTAAGTGTCATCTTCTTTGCATCATGTGATTGAGAGATTGCCTTGACATCCATATCAAACTTCTCTGGTAGTGATCTTAGCACCTTTAATACAAGTTTTGATTCTGGAAACGGCTCTTGTAGTCTGCCTGCTTGATTTGCAAGGTCACAAACTCTTCCATGGAATTCTACAATAGTTTCTTTCTCATCCATTCGCAAATTTCCATATTGTGTCATGAGAATCTGATATTTTGTAGTTTTGACCTTTTCATCACCTTCATATGTGACTTCAAGAATATCCCACGCTTCCTTAGCACTAATGCAATTTGATATGAGGCGGTATTGTGTGGCATTAACTGCACCAAAAATAGCATTTAGGGCTTTATCATTATGCTCAGCAGCAAGGACTTCAGTTCTGCTATAGTCTTCAAATTTCTTGATGGTTGACGTAGTCAGGTCATCTGAGTATTTGACTGGTTCTGTCCAGCCAGTTTCCAATGTTCTCCATACTCCTCCTCCTTGTGATTTCAAGAATGCCCTCATACGCCCTTTCCAGAAGTTATAGTTGTGACCACGCAGCAAGGGTGGCCTGGAAACACTGGCTCCTTCCTCCATGTCTCCCATAATTTGTGATCGTTGAAAGCTAATAACTTAAGCTCAACAAGCTCTGATACCAATTGAAATTCCAACACTTTCAAGGATAGATTCGCAACAAAAATAAACAGCAAACAGACGCAATCACAAAACCACTATTGAAAAGAGTGTTGTAGCTTTAGAACACACAAGATGCTACAACACCGTTTCCAACAGTCACACACACAACCAGAAATAAACAGGTAAAAACACAGAGATTTGTTTACACAGTTCGGAGCAGTATCTCCTACGTCTGCGAGACCCACATCCGTGTAATAGTCTTTCCACTAGATCAACGTAAGAATTACACTATCAATCTTCAATAGATTCTTCTAATGAATTTGACTTGTCTACTTACAAGATCTGACAGCAAACTCGGTTTGTGTCACTACGAGGCCTATTACACCTTCTTCTTGCTCTGCACGAAGGATGTGTTACTGACCCTTACTCAGCTAACCAGGTTGCAACTGCTGAACAATCTCTAGAGAAGATCCATGATTGATCTTCTCATGCAAATCTCTCACAGTTTTGTTTTGATCAGAAGAGCTATGATCTCACGCTCTCTCGTCTGATATTATGAGTATTATTCTGCGTGCTCCCTTTCATCCAAGGGCGTTTCTTTTTTAATAATGTACATAATCCTAGTGGAGTTAGGCTCTGTTCCGTACGCCTGATCTGATTGAATCTGATCTGAATTTTTGAAGTTCTGATCTGATCTGATTGGGTCTGATCTGATTATATCTGATCTGATCTGATTGGATCTGATCTGATCTGATTGGGTCTGATATGATCTGATTGGGTTTGATCTGATCTGATTGGGTCTGATCTGATCTGATTGAATCTGATCTGATCTGATTGGGTCTAATCTGATCTGATTAGATCTAATCTGATCTGATTAGATCTGATCTGATCTGATCTAATTGGATCTGATATTATCTAATTAGATCTGGTGTAAATGAATTCAAATTTGATTTAAATTAAACTTAAATTTATTACAAAATTTAATAGTTTTAAAGTATTACAATTCATATATACATAAAAAAGTAAAATAAGAAAGTTAGCTAATCATTGATATGTTTAAACTTTTTTAAAAATATTAAACATCTTTTCAATATCACATTTTTTTTATTTTTTTGAAAACTAAATAATCGATATTAAAATAACCAAATATTAGAAAATATTGATGTTATTCTACAAAAATATCCCATTCTATATGCATATTACATAATAATATATTTCATGTTATAAATTAAAGATCATATAAAATTTTAAACACTAATATCCCTTTCACCTCTATCAATTTTGTCATAAATTCACCATTGTGTGTATTATATTATCTTAAATTTTAAAAGTAAGTCTTTTTAAGTATAAAATATTTATGGTTTTGAAAACTAAGTTTTTTATAATTGTTTTATAAACAAGTATTTTAAAATAACTTTTTTTAAAGTATGAAAAATACAACTTTTTAAGCTTTAACATTGCTTGCATGGATCATTTCTATCCTACAAGCTAAGCAATTATTAAAAATAATGGTTTGTAGTTGAAATATAATAATAATAATAATAATAATAATAATAATAATAATAATAATAATAACAACAACAACAACAAAATAATAATAATAATAATAATATAAAAACAATAATAATTACAATAATAATATTAATTAAGATTTAGGTGTGTGTAGTTTTAAATAAAGTAATGTGATTTAATCAAATAATAGTAATTATTATTTAATCTTTGGAAAATATAAATATTATTTTTTATATTTTTTATTGATTTGATATTATTGGATTTGATCTGATTTGATATGATCTGATTGGATCTGGTCTGATCTGATTGGATCTGGTCTAATCTGATTGGATCTGATCTGATCTGATTGGAGCTGATCTGATCTGATTGGATCTGGTTTGATCTAATTAGATCTGATCTGATCTGATTGAGTCTGATCTGATCTGATTGAATCTGATCTGATCTTATTGGATCTGATCTGATCTGATTAGGTCTGGTCTGGTCTGGTCTGATTTTAATAAGAATAAGTAATAAGTAGAAAAAATAAGTCCTACGGAACGGGCCCTTAGTCTGGAACTCTTACGATGATAAGCTTGAGTACTAGATAATCCTAGCGCGCCATGACTCCTTCCCGTAGATGCATCTGATATTAAGCACGTGACCTGGAGATAATCAATTGGTGTAGATCCTCTTGATGCTGGACACCTCACGAACTCCTCTTGACATATAAGTCTCCATATATTCAGAGTCCATACCGTATAGAAACTCTATACCATGACTGATAGGATGCTACAACTCTTATCTTAACACAGACATGCTACCATTTCTACCGAAGGGTTTTGTCAAAAAATAATGCCAACATAAACTATATCAACGGACACTAGTTGGAGCTAACATATCTAAGAAGATGACATAATAGAAACTTTAAATATTATTATAATTAATGTTATTAAACTTATAAATTACTCTGTTGTGGCTAATGGTGCAGGTACCATACTCCTACTCTTTTAATTTGTTATCAAATGAGAGTTGTAGTGAATGTTATTGCCCCGACTTATGCAATTTGATGTTACGTTGCTCTTGCAAGTTGCAACAAATTTTGTTTATTAGCCTATAGGCTTTGTTGTGACTAGTTGTGTAGATACTCTTGCTTTGTTGGCAAATGAAAGTCTGTTGTGAAGGTTATGTCTGAGCAGATGCAATCCTTGATGCTGGAAGATTATCCACAAATGATATTTCTACTACTTGTTAACTACCCAAGAAGCATATGGTTACGTACATATGTTGAAACTCCCTTGACATTGTCTAAGAAGATTATAGTTACGGCGGTGTTCATTGTATTTTTTGGTGTTCATTGTAATTTCTCGTTCACTAGCATTTATTGCTACTTAATTAATTGGTTACTTTTGGATGAACAAGTTGTATCTCTCCTTTTAATTAATAAGAGTGTATTCAATTCTTTTGTCTTTATACCTATACCAGAAAAATAAAAAAATGCAGGCAAAAATATCACCCAAAATTAGTTTTGGTTGTTGATTGCCGCACTTATGTGTCTAAATGTAGAGTTCTTTGAAGTGATGTTATCAAAACTTATTTGTGTGGTATCCTAAGAACACATGTATTTGTTTTTTCCACATTTATAAGTGTGGCGATCAACCGTTTTAATTGTGACAAAATACAAATTGTGATATTTGTTTTAATTGTTTTCCACATTTTTTCCACATTTTGAGACCTTTAGTCCGGTCATGAAACCTGTGACGACCATTCATGGTGTGCTCACTCTTGACTTGACTAACTGCTGGCATGTTTGCCATCTTGATATAAATAATGTTTTTCTGAATGGTAGGTTTTTTGAATAGGTCTAAGCCGATCAACCGCCTGGTTACATTCATCCAGAGTTTCCTAATCGTGCATGGTTGTCTTCTCTCCAAGGCATTATCTCCTAAATCATTACGGAGTATATTATACACCAAGATACATAAAATGAGTGTGAACCTTGAAACAACAAAAGAATTTGTCTTTAGGGATGTATTATAAATTTTCTAATTTTGGTGTTTTAAGAATAAGTTAACATAAAGATATTGTTGATAGATTAATACTCCCTCTGTCCCAATTTAAATCGCCTGTTTTGACTTTTGGACATATTTAAGGAAAATAAAAAATAGAGTTAATTTTCCGAAATTGACATTACTTTTTAGGAGGGGTGATGATGAATGAGAAGATAAGGTGAAGAAGTGTGACTTATTTTAGGGGTAGTTTAGGTATTTTATTTTTAAAAGTTTACGAAAACAACTAACAGGCAACTTATTTTGGGACGGAGAAAAAAGGCAAACATGCAATTTAAAATGGGACGAAGGGAGTACTAATTATAGGGGATATGATAGGTGGATTAATAATACTTAGATCCTATATTAAATAAGGTAAAAAGAACATTTATATAAATTGGAAGTAAAAGCTTTTTAGAATGGATGAAAAGTGAAAGATATTGTTTTTTTGGGACCTGATTGTTAAATGAAAAAAAGTACACAGCGTAATAAATTTTATGTAACAGAATCATTCAAATAATTGAAAAGAAAAAAATTAGAATACATCCCTCCGTTTTCACAAAATAATATAATTCTCGCTTTGACCTTTGACAAATTTAAATTGAAAATTGTAGTATTTGACTTTTGAATTTTATCTTTAGATATGGTGGATAGAATATAATTGATGTGCTGAATATATTATTGATGAATAAATATAATGTGATTAGGTAAGTTAATAATTACTTAATATGGGTAAAATAGATATTACTCCGTATAATTGAGAGTGGATGTATTTAATTGAAGAGTAAAAAATCAAAGTACGGAGGGAGTATAATTTACAAAGTTACCAACCTTAATAATTTTAACTACCCAACCTTAATAATTTTAATTACATAATAATAATAATTCTTGATGAGATCTGATTTTAATAAGTCCTGATCTGATCTGATCTGATAGGATCTGATCTGATCTGATCTGATCTGATTCGATCTGATCTGATCTGATTCGATCTGATCTGATCTGATCTGATTCGATCTGATCTGATCTGGTCTGGTATGATCTGATCTGATCTGATTTTAATAAGAATAAGAAAAAATAAGAAAAAATAAGTTGAACGGAACGGGGCCTAGGTTTGTGATGCTTTGTCAAGAGACGTGTTCCATTATTTGTGCTCTATATATATATGGATCCCAGGATAGGTTTGAAACACGACAGAATTTCCATGCTTGTTCTAGATGCTAATTTCTTAATTATTCGATTATATTGAAGTACTAGTGTCAACCTCGTGCTTCGCACGGGCTCATATACATTCTAAATTTTTGACATTCTCTAAATATAATTTTATTTATTTTAAATGAATATTTTTTCACTCTAAGATATACGAAGTATATTTGTTATATAAAAAGTATACTTTAAATATTGATGTACATGCACTAAAAATTCTATAACTATTTAATTTATAAAATATTAAATTAAATAAATCATAAAAATGCCAAAAGCAATTTAATATCTTTGAAGGTGAAATATTTTTTCATTTTTCTGAAAGTGAAATATTTTTTAAATTAATAATAAAGAGTCTTATACATACTCTTCTTTAAAAATTTACAATCAATATGCATATTTAAAATACGGAGTAAATTTTACAATTGTGAAATATATGTTTATAGAATTGTTAGAAAATATTAAATTTTATACAAAATATAATCAAAGTAATGTTTTTTAATGCTAAAAAATAATATTCATTTAATATAATACAATAAAATATATTAAAAGATCCTTTTAAAAAATAAGCTTAATGGACCAATGAAATACTTCCACCATATACATTAGTGCACATGTGGATGCACATGTGGCATGCCACATGTCAACACCACAAACAATACACTCAACTTTACATATTAAAATTTTAAATTAATAATAACGAGTCTTATACATACTCTTCATTAAAATTTTACAATCAATATGCATATTTAAAATACGGAGTAAATTTTACAATTGTGAAATACTCCCTCCGTCCCATAAAACTCTTCTTATTTGAAAAAAGGCACCCTTACTTTATAAAAGAGTAGGATGAGATGTGTAGAATAGATTAGTCATAATTAAAAAATAACACTAAAATTACTCATTTTAAAGGTGTGCCATTTTTGAAACAGGAAAGGTTTTATGGGACGGAGGGAGTATATGTTTATAGAATTGTTAGAAAATGTTAAATTTTATACAAAATATAATCAAAGTAATGTTTTTTAATGCTAAAAAATAATATTCATTTAATATAATACAATAAAATATTGGTGTTATTTTCTAATTTTGCCATTACTTTATAAAAGAGTAGGATGAGATGTGTAGAATAGATTAGTCATAATTAAAAAATAAAACTAAAATTACTTATTTTAAAGGCGTGCCATTTTTGAAACAGGAAAGGTTTTATGGGACGGAGGGAGTATATGTTTATAGAATTGTTAGAAAATGTTAAATTTTATACAAAGTATAATCAAAGTAATCTTACTATATACAATGGTAAGAGGTGGTTTTGAACAGTGTTCCCGCCCATTTGGGAGGCTGCATGTGACGGATTTGGGTCTGATTCTGATGGGCCGGTTTTGGGATAGAGACATCAATTGGGCCAGTCAATTTACGGGCTATGCATTGAAGGGACAGAAAGCCTGCATTGAAGGGACAGAAAGCCTGCATAACAAGTACACTTTTACAGAGCAATAATTATATTTTGAGTCCCGTGCTATTCACATTTACGCTGGTGTCTCTGCTCGGCTCTCCTCTCTCATCTTCGTCGGCATCTTGGTCGAGCAAATCGCCGGTGTCTTGGCCGAGCAGGTCGTCTCCTCTCTCAATTCCGAATGAAGATCTCGCAGCGATTTATTAGGTTTGCTTTCAGCGGTTCTCTTCCCACGATTCTTGCATCTCGCACCGGGATTGAATCAAAGAGGGTCAAGAGGCGAAGGTGGATTCCAACGATTTCTTATCATCACCTGCTTGGCCAAATATACGGACGAGCTTTCAGGCACAGTAAATGAGGCTAGGGTTTCAGTCGATGGATTACGATCGCCATAGACAACAAAGCTTTGAACGGAGTAAGACAAAAGAGGATAGGCCGAAGAACCGTCCTTGCACAGCTGCTCTCATCACTCCCCTAAACTCAGGTCAGCCATTCATTCTTTTCTCATACGCCTTCTTCCAAAATTAAATTTCTAGGGATTAGTTTCTTCAATTCTTTGTGTTTGATATTTTTTTCATAATTTTTGCAGATTTTTTAGAAGTAAGGATTTGATCCGAATTTCACTTAACCCTAGATGCATAGTTTTGTGTTAGCATATCATAATTTAAGCTCAAAATATGAGATTAATAGCTCTATTGGCATTCTTTGAGTTTGATTTTTTGAGGGATTTGGGTATTCTTGGTACTACATTTGTTTTAAAGTTAAAAATACCTTGCCTTTGTAGACAAAGTTTGTGTTGTCTCTCTTCCCGAATAAGGAGGCACACCAACTGTTCAATAAAATGCAATGAACATTGGACAAGATTATTTTCAAGTAAAAACGGTCAAAAATTTGGTTTGAATTAATAAAATTCTACAGTCTCGATAAAGCATATTTTACACTCTCAATAAAGCATATTTTATAAATGATGAAAGGGAGTACGATTAGAAGAAGTATTATCTCTTGAATTATGAATGTTTGGTGATGAAGGTTACTTCTATACCTTATTTTTCATTTTGAACGAACTCGGCCCACTCTTAATTTATAATTGTAAATGGATTCTTTTCTTTAGTTTAATCGTTATCTAGGAGGTTGGTTGTTGACTTTACCTTAAATGATATTCATATATTGAATGTAATGTTTTTTAATGTACATCATACTATTCACTTTTAAATACTATGTTCTGTTTGGTATGAAATAGCATTGTCGAATCTTTGGAATGGAGTACATAGTTTTAATTATGGGTTCTAATTATGATGTATGGATGAAAAAATATGATGTATATTTTTTAATGTAACTGATTCTGTTTCTTTTGAATATGTAGTCAGATTGAATCTGACTATTTGGCCATCTTTCAAAGGTAGTATACAATTTTAATTATAGGGGACAGAAGAAATTTGCTAATACTAATGTATGTGTGTTAATAACGCACAAATGAATAAATTTCATTTATGGTTCATTCAATCTTAATTACAATATTTTAGCTATATAGTTTTAAATTGTAATTTAGCTTTTTGTTTCCCCACTCGAGCTAGATTGAATGAAATTGCAACCATTGATGATTGATGGAGCTCGAGTCCTAATATCCACTTTGGTTCGAATCAGTAAGAGTATTTTTATTTTCATCTATTGTAACCATTTCTTTATTTTGTTGGAAAGAGATTTAGTACTCATGTGACTGATTAGTACTATGGTCTTGCAATTCAATATGTAATCTCATTGTACCCGACTACCCGTAAATGTTGATCTTTCTCGCAATCAGTTTGCATCTCTTTTACAAATTTTGAGTTTTTTTTTGCGGTGCTGCAGGCTAAGTAACTTTGTTGCTGCCTTGCCTTCGACGGTCGTGGCTGAAATTCAAAGCAAGAAGATTACAAATATTTTCAAGGTTGGTTTTTTTCACTTTAATATTTGCCGCAGTTGTAGTTTTTCAAGTATGATTTTTTCTAGCTAAACATGAATTATATTTTGATCTTAATTAAAATTAAATCTTAATAACAATCTGAGTACTTAAAATTATTTGTAATCTTCAAAAAAATGGTTAAGTGATGGAAAAAACGAAAATAATATTTATGAGCCCAACATGCAGATTAAAAATGGTTCAGTGATAGAATAATATTTGTACTAAAATGCTTTATGCATTATGTGTGCCTTTTGTTCCTTCACTGCATGTTATAAAAATTTACTTTAAAAAATATGTGCAAATGTCAATAAACTTGATTTAATTAGAATTGATAACTGATTCTTTTTTTAAATGGTTATCTTTGGTTATGTGTTTTTCTCTATGGCGTTGCAGATCAGCATCAATAAAAGAAGACAACTTTTTCTATGGTGATGGGTGAAAGTAGAGTTCAAGTTTAATGTTGATTTGGTCTTTTAAGTTTATTGGTATTTAATGTGGAGTTTTCGTGGTGATGCATGCTTTATGTTTTCGAGAATTGAGCAAAAGAAATGCGTGGCTCAATACAATTTTTATGTCTAATCGCATAAAAGAAAAGATTTAACAAATATATGCATTTAATGTGGATAGTTGGATGTGTTGCAATAAAACCGCATGCTTCATCATTATTTTTTATGGAAAAACAAAAAAGCAAAAGCTTGAAAAATGCATGCTTTATGTTTTTGAGAATCGAGAAAAAGAAATACGTGGCTCAAGGCAAACTTTATGTCTAATCGAATAAAAGAAAAGACTTAACGAATATATAAATTTAATGTGGAGAGTTGGATGTATTGCCATAAAACTGCATGCTTTATCATTACTCTTTATGGAAAAACGAAAAAGCAAAAGCTTGGAAATGCATGATATGCTTTATGTTTTCGATTGTTTTTGAGAATCGAGAAAAAGAAATGCGTGGTTCAAGGCAAATTTTATGTCTAATAGAATAAAAGAAAAGACTTAACGAATATATACATTTAATGTGGAGAGTTGGATGTGTAGTCATAAAACTACGTGCTTTATCATTACTCTTCATGGAAAAACGAAAAAGAAAAGCTTGAAAATGCATGCTTTATGTTTTCGAGAATTGAGAAAAAGAAATGAGTGGCTCAAGACAAACTTTATGTCTAATCGAATAAAAGAAAAGATTTAACAAATATATATATTTAATGTGGAAATTTGGATGTGTAGTCATAAAACCGCGTGCTTCATCATTACTCTTCATGGAAAAACGAAAAAGGATAAACATTAAAATGCATGCTTTCTGTTTTCGAGAATCGAGAAAAAGAATTGTGTGGCTCAAGGCAATCTTTATGTCTAATCAAATTAAAGAAAAGATTTAACAAATACATGCATCTAATAATAAAACTGCAAATGTAGTCTATAAAGAAGTTTTCCAGAATTTATAATGTTATTCTATCACATTGTACGTTGTTGTAAAACTCATCCTCTTTAATATATATTGCGTATCTTTGTTTAAAGCAAATTTTATCTTAGACTTTTATCAATGCTTCCCCTATTTATTTAGCTTTAACTCAGGCCGTGCAACGCATATTAAAAGATCCTTTTAAAAAATAAGCTTAATGGACCAATGAAATACTTCCACCTCATACATTAGTGCATATGTGGATGCACATGTGGCATGCCACATGTCAACACCACAAACAATACACTCAACTTTACATATATATATAGGATAGGATATATAGGATATATAGGATATATAGGATAAGATAGGATATAGGATAGAATAATATATAGGATAGGATATAGGATTTTGGTATACTCCGAGATAATTATAATCCGAAAACGATCACGTGATTTGTTTAGTCTATCAAGTTTCTTCACGCTTGTTCGTACACCAATTCTTCTAACACTACTTCGCGGCATTACTATCCCTCCAAGATTTTCAACATTATTCTCTTCTTTGAACGAAAAACAATACAATGATAAAATGAGAGTAAGAAAAAATAGAATAAATAATTTAAATATTGTACGGACTGTATTGGGATATGGAAGAATTTTGATCATTTTCGGGCTTGCAAGAAGAAGAGGAAGTGAAAGCTGGAAACCTATGAGTGTTTCTGGTCTTCCAAAAAAAGAGAGAAAGATAACTTTTAATTTCTTATTTTTGATGATGATTCTAATTGGATTACATCTCTTTATATAAGGAATTAATAAACCCTAATAATAATAATAATAATAATAATAATAATAATAATAATAATAATAATAATAATATACTACCTTGGTCCCAACATTTTTGTTTCGTTTTATTTTTTCGAGTCAAAGTAGACATATTTTGAGTTTTAATTACTCTCAAGTTGTAAGGTGTGTTAGTAAAATGAAATAAAATTTTGAAAATTCTCAACAAGGTTTATCTAAAAATCACTTTTTACTAATATACATTATAATTTTGTTTAATTGAAACTCAAAGTTTATCCTATTTAATTCAAAAGAGTTCAGCTTGATAAATATACTAAGACGGAAGCTTATTAAGGAGTAATTGCCAACCCTAACCATAATAAAATACTAACTAGTACGAAGTAAATAACTAATAATTAATACTCTTTCCGTCCCATATTAAAGTTCCTGTAACACCCGCCTCTTGCAGACCCGGTTCACCCGCGACCCGACGGATCAGTAGGGTTACATGGACAGTCCAAGAACCATCCGTTACATAAAATATTAATGATTATTTAATAAGAAAACGGTTGGATTTAATTAGTGAGATAAATGCCAGGGAGTTACTCCCCAAACGTATATAATAAAAGTGCAGAGTAAATGCGGAAGTAAATAAATAAGTCCAGTCCAAATTAAATAACGACAGGGGTGGGTTCATGCCCAAATGATTAAATAAGTCAATGAAAATAAATAAGAGCTCGTCCGTGCGCCGCCCATCTCCCCATCGTCACTGCTCTCCAGCGTTGGCACCAGCTCCGTCATGTCTACCTGCGTGTAGCAAAAACAACTACACGCTCAGCAAAAGCTGAGGAGTGAATCTAACAAAAGAACATTTAATGATAACCCATATGGCTATACACATATTAATACCTGTACTTAACGTACGGGAAACCACATGTTACTAACTGTTTAGTTTTCACCTGCTAGGACTATTTCAACACACAAAGTGATAGGAACATACATGATGATGAAATGACTTGATGCATGACTTAAATTATCAGGGACACCCCTGGCTTAGTCTCACTCGACAGGATCACCCCTGCACTCCGGTCATCGTCCCCGTACGGTAACGAGCCGGGCACGACGAAGATGTCGCGAGTGGCCTAGCAAAAACCGGGTAGTAGCTGTAACCTGACTACTATGTACGTACACAAAGCCCACCTGATGAAAAACCTGTAGGATCCCAAAGGTTCCTAGACGGGCCCACTGTAGTAGGCGCACGAAAGCCTGACCTCCCTACAGCGGTATGCACATGATGACGAACCTAGGACATACGTCTAGGATGAACATGATGAAATGAATGCATTGATTGAAGAAGGAAGTTAAATTCAACGCATACATATGTGTTTGATTACAATTTGTTCAACATGATGGCCTTAGGTTCAGAACTGGCTGATTAACTGACAATCGATTGTCTACTACTGATGATCGATTATCATGCTGTGCAGCTTCTATCCCCAAAGTCCTGCAGACTGTGATAGTCGATTGTCACCCTATGACAATCGATTGTCAAGTTGGTTTGTTCAGAGAGTCCTAAGTTCAGAGAGCCATGATAATTGATTGTTGCCTACGTGATAATCGATTATCAGTGAAGCCAACTTAGACCCAAGAATCCGCAGGGCCTGATAGTCGATTATCACATATGTGATAATCGATATGATTATCACGCTGTGCTGAATCAACTGAGTCCAGTGTGGCCTGATAGTCGATTGTACTATTCTGTAACTCGATTATCAAGGCACGCTGACTTCCATTATTTCTGTTTGTTTGTCATCAAAACGTTGGAAGTTTTAAAAACAAATGTTTATATTTCCATGCTAGATAATCGATGAACTTACAAGGTTTCAAAACATTTATATTAACGAGCACATAACTTGATAACATGGACACACGTATGTCGGATGGTTAACCTACGAACATGCATAGATTCTACGTAGGTTGCGTACGTTATTCCTATGAATATAACGACATAGATTATAACTAAATGTTCTAGAATTAGAGGGACATCTACTCACCTCTAAATGAAAGGGGTTGATGGCCCGATAGAACGAGACGAACGAACGGCTATCCACAAACCAACGAACAAACGAACGGCCTGCCTCACACGTGCACTATCTACCTTCTCCACCTCCTCCGCGTCTACTGCCGGAATTCCCCTTGGTGAATTGCTGTGTGGCCGAAACAAGGGAAGGGGAAGAGAGAGTGGGTTGAGAGTGTAAGGAATGGGGGTTACAAAATAGGGTGGAGAAAGGGAATGGGTTGGGATTTAAATTGGAAGTAATAATGAGGAGAATAAAGTGAAACTTAATGGAGCATGAATGTGTGAGTGGCGTGTGAGTTGGATGGAGGTTACAAACATATTTTTACTCCGTTATTGTAAAAATCTGACCTGAACGGTACGCACTTTTTCCCCCGAACGGGTCCAAATTGAGATCCGTTAGCATTTCTGGAATCAGACAGTCAAAACGAATTTAATGATATGATCAAATATTTTTTCTAAGAACTTTTTTTTTATTTTCCCCAACTCCAGTCCGGAATAGTAATTAATTAATTAAATTAATCAATTCTATTAGACCGGGTTGCAGGGCGTTACAGATCCCATTTGGAATAGTCCCCCAAATTAAAGAGGGGATATTTTGGCTTTGACTTGCCCAAAATACCCCCTCCCACACGCCCTAATTGAAAAAGAAAATAGCGTAAGGGGAAAAGTGGGTGTACTTTTAAGAATTAAATAAGGGAAAGGAAACATATCAAATCAACACAATGATTACACCACTATTCATTACAAATGAGTTTTAAATTCATATGTAGTGCAGGGGGGGAATTTTTTTGGGAAATTTTTCATTTCCCTCCAATTACAAGAAACCCAAAAATAGAAATACATATATAAATAGAAAGCATTGAATGCATTCCATGCATTCAATGCTTTTTTCTTTTTTTTCTTCTCTTCTTTATGGACTCTTCCTCTTTATCTTTATCTTTATCTTCTGTGTTTTCTCCAGAATTAGGGGATGATTCTACCAGTGAGAACCACCCCCACCCTCCACTTCTCCAAGTCCCCGTCCTCAACCTTGAAACTCTTACAGAATACAGATACAGAAAAAATGTAGCACATTCACGAGAGAAAAAAAGCGAAAGAAGAAGAAGAATAGTGGATAGGTTACTACAGTATTATAAGCATGACAAACTTCAGCATGGTTGCATTAAAGCAGTGGCTGGAGAGTTCAACATATCTAGAAAAACAGTTGGGAAAATATGGTCTTTAGCTAGGGGTCAAATGCAGGATGGTCTACCAGTTTCTGTTCAATGCAAGAGGAAAGGCAACTTTGGCAGAAAAGAAGTGCCTGTTGACATTCCAAAGATGTTGGCAGTTCCATTTCATAGGCGCAAGAACATACGTGCCCTTGGCTATGCAATGGAAGTGTCTAAGTCAACTGTCCAGAGATGGCTAAAAAGGAAGGCCATAAGGAGACATTCCAATGCAATGAAGCCATATTTGTCATACTCAGGTAAGCTAAAAAGACTTAGCTTTTGTTTGGAGCATATTTGTCCCTCATCAGTTCCATTGAACCCAACATTTCATAATTTTTATGATTATATTCAAATTGATGAGAAATGGTTCAATATCACAAAGGAAAAAGCCACCTTTTATGCACTACTAGAGGAAGAAGACCCACACAGAACAATTCAATCAAAAACACACATACCAAAAACAATGTTTTTAGCTGCAGTGGGTAGGCCTAGATATGGGGCTGATGGGGGTCTACTTTGGGATGGGAAAATTGGCATTTTTCCATTCACTTTTCTTGCTGAAGCAAAGAGGTCATCTAAAAATAGGCTAGCAGGAACACTTGAAGTAAAGGCAGTGCCAATTATAGACAGGCATGTCATGAAAAACATTTTGATTAAAAAAGTTCTGCCAGCAATCAAGGAAAAATGGCCTGGACTAACAAAACATGTTATCATTCAGCAAGATAATGCAAAACCACATGTGGAGGAAAATAATCCAGAGTTTGTAGCAGCTGCAGTAGAAGGAGATTGGAAGATTGAACTCAAATTTCAGCCACCTAATAGCCCAGATTTAAATGTACTTGATCTGGGTTTCTTTAGGTCAATTGACAGCATTCAAGACCAATCAGCTCCTAGAAATTTAAGTGAATTGATAAATGCTGTAACCACATTTGAGGATATCCCTCATGAGAAGTTGAATAATGTTTTCCTAACATTGCAAGGAGTAATGGGTGAGGTTTTTTAAGCATAAAGGTGGAAACAACTTCAAAATACCTCACATTGGGAAAACAATGTTAGCTAGGGAAGGAAGGCTCCTAGAGAATATAGGGGTGAGACAAGAAGTTTATGAACAGGCAAAACAGTTTCTGGAAGAACAAATGTAAACTTTTTGGAAGTTATTTTTTGTATGTATAACAGGGCATGGGAAAAGTACAATATCTCCTGTACTCCCATGTCAATGCACAAATGTAATCAGTGTAGCATCTAACTTTTGGTTACCAGGCAGTTTGGTCAGGGTACAAATGTCACAGTACTACCAACTGCCTTTTTTTGCACTTTTTGCTGGGTTGTATTTTTGTTTAAATGAAGTGTAGTATCTGTCTTTTGTTAAGAAGAAGTGGAGTATCTGATGTGTAGTATCTTACTTTTGTTAAGAAGAAGTGTAGTTTATAAAGTCTAGTATCTGTCCTTAAATACAAAAAGTGTATTTTCTAAAGTCCAGTATCTGTCCTTAAATACAAGAAGTGTAGTATTTTAACAAGTGTAGTGGAACCACAGAACCATAGAATCACAGAATCACAAAACAGAACTAAAATCACAAGAAATTTGTCATCCTTTCACACTACAAAACATAGGTAGACCAAAAACAGCACAGACCATACCAGCATAAATGTGGTTTGTGTAAGTCTCCTACAAAAAAGTGGTGACATTACAGCAAAAACCTCACATAATCAGAACTGTTTTCATAACATAATCATGTTTGCATGATTAGTTTGCCCAAAAATTTAAAACTTTCCGTAAGCAAGAAAATCAAAGTAGATACATCTTACTTGTTTTGAAACGATTTTGTTTAGCCGGGTCTAAAGTAACTTCTGAGAAATTGAGCTCATCCTCATACATCTCCAAGATCTGTGAAGATGTCACAGATTCTTAGTCTTCTTCTCCATCCTCTTCTTNTTTACGGAAACTCCAAGTTGGATCCGTCTCAGAGGAGTCAGATCCACCTCCATCCAAGCCAGATCCCCAAATCTCCTCATCCTTCCTCTTCGAAATTGTGGGTGGAGGGGATCTTTGAGGAGAAATAGATGTTTCCTCATCACTGTCGGTCAGTCATTGAAAGGAGGGCATCGTAGGGTCGCGACTTTTCATCGAATCATAGAGGAGAAGAGATTTAGAGATTAGATCTCAGAGAAGAGGAGGGGAGAAGATGAGAGAAGCTCGTGGAATTGGAATCGATGAAGAGGAGAGAAGAAGATTAGAACGGCATATCCGTGGCTGGAATTAGGCACGGCATTTGGCACATCTTCGTCCCGACGAGTTTTTAAAAATTAACATTGTCCGACGGAAACGAAACGGCGTAAAGGTTGTGATTTTGGCATGGACCGTAGGCACGCACAAGGTAGTGCCAAATTCGGCCTTGCACAGCATTGCGCCATGTGGCCTTTACTCTCCATCGGTAAAGGCACGGCACTATCCGGGCCTAAAAAACCGTGCCTATTGCGCGACTTTTTTGTAGTGGGGTGGGGGGCGGGGTAGGTTAGCTTTTGTTAGGGTTTGGGATGGAGGGGTATAATAGACTTTTTATGACAAATGAGAAGTTTTTTTTGGGAAGAAAAAGAAACGAAAGGGAAACTTTTTTGCGGGACGGAGGGAGTACATAGTAAATGATTAATTAAGGAATCTAATCTAACATCCATATTAATATATGTAGGAGCAAACAAACAAGAAAGAAAGAGCTAGTGACGGTTTAATTTCAATAGTTGAAGTTCACATTATGAGATATGATTAACCGAGTTAAAGATGAAGGCTTGAAGCGCGAGGGAAGCTAGACTTTGGAACTGGGAAGACCGGATTATTCCACTGTTTTACTTGGTAGTCTCAGTAATCAAAATTGATAAACTTTAATTGCTAACTAAATAAAGTTGATATTAGAATATATATTTTGAAATTCAATAAGATTGAAAGATTGCAATAAGATAAATTTAATAAATCCATTTTTTATACAAATATATATTATAATCTTTATTTAATTGAAACTCAAATTTATCAAGTTTAACTCAAAAAAATCAAACTAAACAAATATATTAGGACGGAGGGAATATATTTATATAATGATAAAAGAAAAGAAAATCCCCCAAATAGGAGTAAAACATATATCATATCTTCAAAATAGGAGCATAAACTTAAACTCCTCTAAATAGGAAATATTAATTAATTAATAATTCTAATTGCTATCCCAATGTCCTCTAAACCCTGTAATTGGATTGTATAAAGCTCTGTTTTGATGTTCCAGCAGTTGAATTTCATGATTGTTCTGCGATTCTGCTTGGCTTGTTATCCCTGGAAATTTGCTTCCTTTTATCCTTTATTGTGTTGTGTTCTACTGATCTTCTATGCTTGATAAAAAAACTAATTAAGTAATAAAGAAAACACTCTCTACTGCCTGCAATCTTCACATTCCTCTGGTCAGCACATGCAATAATGGTAGGTTATTATTTACTCCCTATATACTTCGTCTTCTAAGTGTATTTTGTCAATATTGAAAAGTCAAACTTGCGCATTGCAAGTGTTATTTTTACAACAAATTTATCTAAATAGCATTAAAACATAAGGACTATTTTTAAATATCATTTTATGTTTTTATTTTTCAATGTAGCACTTTTAGTCATTATCCATTACTCACTTTTAGTCTCTCCTCCTCACGGCCAGCCCACCATGCCTCTCTCTTCCCTCTCTCTCATTTTTGGCCACCACCCTCACCATTTTGAAGCGTTGCCTCCGTCAAATCCACCCCAAGTGCAGTACATCACTGCCGCCGCACTAGCTTCCCCCTATGCAGATCTGTCACGAAGCATCCCATGTAGATCCGCCGCGCAGTGCCGCCTCTATCTCTCCCCCCTTGTAGATTTGAAAATAGTGAAATTTGCACTAAATAAGATTAAAACATAATGACTTTCCTAATCTAGAACTTAAACTTTTTTATTCCCTAAATAGGACTTAATAATGACCTCGTGGGAGAAATAATGCCCAGTAATGATGGACATTTACTTGAATAATGACTAATTCATAATGACCAAATTAAAACTCCTACATTGGGAAATAAAAACATTTGGTCCTATATTGGGAAAGTCATTATGTTCAAATCCTATTTATGTAAATTACTCTTGAAAATATATCGCACCGCCAATATCCAAATGCTCTATAATTGAGTCTGCATTGTAAAAGTAAGAAATACTTCCAACTTATTACATTCATCCCTTTTTTTCTACGAAAAATTGCATTTTCTTTAGGCATTGATTTTGGTTTGGTTTTTTCTTTTCATTTTTGTATTTGATTGTTTTTCTTTTAATTTTTTTGTTTGATTGTTTTTCTATTAATTGTGTTTAAATTTTGCTCCCAATTTCAGCAAAATTTAGTGATAGTGATAAGAAACTTGATATTGTATGTTGACAATCTTGACATTTCACTTTCTTTTTGACATTTTATATTGACATGTTTGACATTAGGCAATAAAATGTTTGGCATTATGCAATGACATGTTTGACAGGATGCATTATCGTCTTCGACATTGTGGCTTTGGTTGACATTGTATTGAACTTTTTCCTTTGGCAGAGACACCATGGCACTATGGTGGCGACAATGACAGTCCTGATCCCAATGTTGGCAGAAAAATTGTGACATTTGTGACATTGACAGTAGCAAATGGGGCGATGGAGGCAGCATCCACAAAAAATGGGGATGAGAGCAGCAGATCGCGGTGGCGATGACGGCGAATTTGCCGACCGTGGTGGTGTTAGTGGAAGAAACAATGTAGATGGTGACCACATTTAAGAGTGACGACAGCAGAAGATTGTGGCGATGGAGTGGCGGCGGCAACAGTAGCGGCGATGGCGGCATGGGTGGAGACCGTGACATGTGCGGCAGGGGCGGTAGCTAATTAGGATTTTTTAATTTTTAAAATGTATTTAATTTCATAATTGTAATATGAATATAACTTCTATTTTGGAATATGGTCAATGTTTTACTTGTATTTCGCTCTTTATTTTTAAGCCATTAGATTAATTAAAAGTTAATTACTCCAATTTAAGAGAGTTTATGTTTCAACTCTTATTTTGAGGACATGTCATATGTTTTACTACTACTTTGGTCCTTCTCCCATAAAACTATCTATCTTTGTGAAACCAAGCATATATGGGAAGAAGAATGGTGAAACTAAGTCATCATTTTAGTTTTGAAAGGATAAATTGTAGTTTTAATTACACAATAATTATAAAATAAAATAAATTTCCAATAAATTCAATATGAACGTTATAATAGAGTATGAAAACAACATTTTTTCTATGGCACACTTTGAAAAAAAAAAGTAGGAAGGGAAGAGAAATTCACATGAGGCCACCACATAATTCGTGGGCCCACACTCAGGTACCACTCTCAATTCAAGCTCTAGCTAGGTCATGCTCATAAAATTAAAGGCGACCCCATACCTTTTCGTATATTGCATATATTATGTTGTGTCAACACCAGTCCACTATGAACACACGTACTATACCACTGCCCCTCTCATATATCCCTCCCTAGCTAGCCCTCACATTATAATTAATTAAATACAAATTGCCTAACTTCATTAAAACCCCATTCCCCCCAGCTAGTTGAAATTAATTACCACGAACCAAACGTGCCTTAGCTCTTTTCTTCTTTTTCTCTTTTCAAAAAAAAAAAAGAAAAGAAAATTGTTGCTTATAATTATCTTTATCATATATACCATCTTAGCTAGCTAGCTACCTTGTGAAAGCCATTTTTGTTAGTTTATTATTATTAGTATACATGGCTTACTTTTATTATTATTATTAGGTTCCTCCCTCAATTCCCAATTATCAAACAGAAATCCCAATTGAAATCCAGGGAAAAAAAATTCCCCACACTCAAATCTCTCTTTACCCTATGGAAATTTTGCAAGTTTTGTAGATCTAGAAGCAGCAGCAGTGTATTATTCCAAGATAGGTTGTGACTTATAAGCCTGTGTTTCTTCTTCTTCTTCTTCTTCTTCTTGATCTTCAATTCATCAAGGGTATAGTAGTAGTGAGAGGGAGAGGTGGTAGGTATGCACCCATTTACCCTAGGTTCCTCTTCCTTCCCGTACGGCCGCCAGCAAAGGGTTTGGTTGGATGAGGGGGGAAGAGGGGAGGAGGAGGCGGAGGAGGGTGCGAAGGCGGCGGATCCGGAAGCCGGCGGGAGCGGCTGCGGCGGGGCTGTGGCGGCGGCGGTGGAGAAGGAGCACATGTTTGACAAGGTGGTGACGCCGAGCGACGTGGGGAAGCTGAACCGGCTGGTGATTCCGAAGCAGCACGCGGAGAAGTACTTCCCCTTGGACTCTTCCAACAACGACAAGGGGCTTCTGCTGAACTTCGAGGACCGGAACGGGAAACCGTGGCGGTTCAGGTACTCCTACTGGAACAGCAGCCAGAGCTACGTGATGACCAAGGGCTGGAGCCGGTTCGTCAAGGAGAAGAAGCTGGATGCAGGCGACGTCGTTTCCTTCCAGCGGGGCGCCTCCGAGTCCGCCAGGGACCGCCTCTTCATCGACTGGAGGCGCCGCCCGGACCACCACCACCACCACCTCGCTCCCGTGATCTCCTTACCCCACCACCACTTCTCCTCCTTCCAGCGCTCCCCCTTTCATCAGCACTACCCGGCGGCCGCCGCTGCAGCTGCGGCCTGGAACCACCACCAGGCTGTGTTCTCCGCCCCCCTGCACCCGTCTTCGTACGGCTACGGGGTCTTCAGCGGCGGGGAGGTGGTGGTGAATGGAAACCCTTGCTCGGGGGTATCTTCGTCCGGGATTTACCTGAGACCCATAGTGGCGGCTGCCGCCGCCGCCCAGCAGCAACAAATGATGCATAGAGGAGGAGTTGGAGGAGGGGCTGCCGCCGCCGCCTCCGCGGTGGTGTTTGAGTCGATGCCGGTTGTTGTCCACGGCAAGGCGGCTGCAAAGCGGCTGAGGCTCTTTGGGGTGAACGTGGACTGCCCCATTTTGGACGGAGACACCTCCTCCCCCTCCTCCTCCACCTCCGCCGCCGCGGCCTCAACAACAACAACAATCCCATCCACTTTGCTTCAATTAAAGTCATCCGGCTACGATGATGACGGCAACAACGACACGGAAGAACTACATCTCGAATCCGATGATTATAATAATAATAAACCCAGGAAGTCGTCTTCATCCGCTTCCATGTCCCTAGATTGGGACATTTAATTAATTTGATGATCATATCATAAAATTGCGACATTTCATTCCCTAGTAGTATTCTTCATAAATTCCTGTGTATACGCAAGGGGGATCGGATCGGACCGGAGAGATTGTGAGATGGACAGATCCGTCAATTATATACACTGCTTCAATTCATATTTAATTTAACTAAATTTCATGCGCCTCCCCGATCCATTATTTCTTCATCTTCTTTTTCTTTTAAATCATTTCTTTTGAAATTATAATTCCAAATGTGTGTGTATATATAGTTAACAACTGTAGCAAAATGCATGGCCGGAAAGATTCGCCTTCCCATTTATATATTACTTCAAATTCATTAACCAATAAACAATGCAGCATCTTCTATATATGTATGTATGTATAGAGATGGATGCCAGACTTTTGCTGCAGCGGCAGAATGTGAAGAAGCTATAGGAACAGTAAGGATGGGAAGGAGAAAGAGCTTTTCTTTTGGGCACTGTAACCTGCTTTTTGGTAATGTATTTACTGCCCTCTGCTAGGTGGTGGTTGCTCTCTCTCTTCTCTTCTCTCCCGCAGCTTTTTTATTTCCCTGCTGGCCGGCCAACGAGAAGGTATTTGTTTCTATGTCTCAGATCTCGCTGCTTCTACATCATGCGTCTATGTTTCAATTAATTAATTAATTAACTAATCAATGGTACATCATTCAAATTGTTGTCTGCTCTTTCTTGTTTTAGTTATGAACACATGGTTTCTAGCTCCTTATCTTATGCTATACCACATTTGAGGTTTCATCTTCTTCTTCATTCTAGCCTGCAGCATTGTTTGTTTATATACTTTCTCTGTTTCAAATTAGTCTTTTTTAGCTAATTACCATCATAGTTTCTCTATAATATACGTTGGATTTTTATGTAGGTTTTGATTGATTATTTGATAAAATAAAATATTTATGTCACCACTTATTTTGTAGAATTTTTTATGTAATTTTAGTTGATGTAACTAATTTGTACAGAGTGCTTTTCATTTTAGAAATGATGAATTTTTGCATGTTTTTCCAAATGGGAAGCTAAGAAGAAATTGAAATGGAGGGGGCATTTATTTGCATTGTATATATACACATTTGAATGGATTACAGTTTCTCTTTTCTCAAAGATGGTTTGTTTTGGGATGGTGCAATATATATATATATATATATATATATATATATATATATATAAGTACTTAATATCATTTCATCTTAATATATTTGATTATTTTCATTTTCACATCAAACACAGTATGATATTTCATGCCATTGAGTTTGGGCTTTCAAAATCTTAAAGCAACCTCCTCACCACTATGAAATGAAAAAATGACTAAATGACATTTTTGGTCATGCATGAATGTAATAACTTGATTCTTTTGATAATTTTAATCTACTTTTTCTAGATTTTTCAATTTTAATCATATCATATCATCTAGAACCAGAATCTCTCAGCTCATTACATGGCTGAAAAATAAGTTCCCCGCCATAATTTTACTCATGCTTGGAAATGAACATTAATGCATTGCAAAAGCACAATTAGTTTTTGCATAAAGTGACATTTAGCTAGCCTTGTAAGAAAAAGATGTTTCAACTTTCAGTTACATAAAACCCTTGATGCATTATTATTATCCATAACTTCACATAAAGATAGAATAAAAATGAACGTTTAAAGTGCCATTTTGATTTTGTACACTTGTTTTGAAACGTAACTAAAACAATGTCAGCAAAATGACTCTTATAAGCACTATTGGCAACAAATGTTGATTTTTACAATTTTACATGTTCATACTGAGAGATATTTGTTAAACTTCTGGTGAGTTGAGAACAATGGGTGAAATGTCGGGTAAAATTTATCACTTGCATATAAAGTCAAGATTTACTTTCAAATCTAACCAAAAAGCTTAATGGTTAGATAGAATTTCACCATTCTACATATGCTAGTGATATTTTCTTTATTTTCTGATGTGGAAACTCGTTGTATATAATAGTAGCATATTGTTTCAATCCAACCTTAGTGTGTATAGGCAGCATATGTCATATCCCCTCAATGTGACTTCCTTATATGGTTTCACTGAATTGCAAAATCTGCATGCTATTGCTTTTCTAAAGGTCTTTAATTCATTTATGGATATATGTTTATATATTCAGATCATTATATCTTCAGCAATATATATATATATATATATATATATACACACACACACACATACACGTACACACACACATATACATAAATAAATATACATATACATACATACATATATATATATATATATATATAGAATATATATATATATATATATATATATATATATATATATATATATATATATATATATATATAGACACACACACTTTTGACTGATTTGTTCTTGGTTCAGAGTGCCGGCATGCATATCATGGATTTCAACACTAATGTTTAAGGAGCTGGAGAGACATGAAATGACAAACATTTTTGCCCACCTTAAAGTCCTTAATTATATGGCGCATATCACTCTTCTTGAATTTGTATACAGAGTACATCATAGTAAGTTAACATTAATCTTATTTTGGTACCGGCTACCGGGTATTTAATTATTTTCAAAATAGCATTGTTTTGATTTTTGGAAAGAAACATTAGAAATCACCCTAAATAGGATTAAAATATAAAGAATAGTACCAAAATCGTATTTTTATGTTTTTTTCCTGAAATAGGACTTCGCACTATGGTAATGTGGCACTGTACACGTGCACATTACATATATTTTTTGGTAATGTACAAGACCATGTTTGGTAATGCAAATGCATTTTAAGTCCTATTTTGAGAATAAAAACGTAAAAGTCCTAATTTTAGTAAATTTTTAATGTGTTAGTCCTACTTTAGTCTTTTTCCTAAGAAACATGTAGAAGTTTGACTAATGTGGAACAATGATAATTAAAATGTGTAGGGCTGGAAAGTGTCAAATTGGATATGGCGTAGGATGTAGTTAATGTAGGTTCCGTAAGATTTAAGAAGAAATGGATAAAATTAAAATATTCTATGGAATATGTAAGATAAGAAATTTAAAAAACTTTACAGAAAAGTATGTTTTTATGGAGTATACATTTTAAGAAATTTAAAATATTCTATGGAGTATAATGTTTTTAACTTTCGGTTACTTATGTTATTTTTCATTTATTTAAAGTCTTTAGAGTTGTGCTAGGTTAACCTCATAATTTTGACACTACTTTCAATCTCATGCTTTGCAAAGACACAAATAAAGAACAACTTTCATTGCATGCGGCATTGATAACTAATACTTACTTCCTTAAAAGGGTTTTCCTTATTAATTTTTTGGGAAATTAAGTGAGTGATATTTTTGTGTTGTCTTTCCAAAAATATCCTTGATCTGATAGATAAAAGTAAGAGATATTTTTGTGTTGACTTCTAGTTCCTTCCAACTCCTAGTTTCTTCCAACAACGAATTAAAAAGATACTTATATGTGATTAATACAGAGTTTAAAATAACATTATATCTCCAAATTTATAACGTAACATATCAAACATAGACAATGCTGAATTCTTTTTTATGCAAATTAAAATTTTCTTACATATTAATTTGGATGGTCATTTGATTGAGTGACTTTCTAATACTTAAATTCTTCCAACAATTTCCAACTCCTTACAATTTTTTCAAACTCTTTCCAGTTTTTTCTAACTCCTCTCAGTTTCTTCCAAAATCCAACTCTTAAATTCCAATAAAAAACAACAGAGCAATCGCCTTAGCACATGGCTTCAGCCCACCAAGCAAATCCCACCTCACGGCCCGGATGGGATTAACCCATCAATCTGCTCGCGGGTTGCCATTCGGGTCTGGCCTCAGCACCAAATTATTTAATTATATAAATATGTTGATCTAATTATATCTTGACCCACGAAAAAGCTAGTCATCACATAAAAATAGTTCACAAACTTTACAAATTTGTCTCTTGTGGATTTTAAATTAAAATATTTTTATTATTTAATTTGAGTGCATCTTATTTCTACTAAAATATTAAAAAGGGAAGTGTGTAAATTTTGTGAACTGTTTGTTTGTGATTCTAACATTACTCCCTGGCTCAATATATATACATGAAGAAGCATAAATTTTTTTATGGGAGAACCAGTGCAGTTTTTATTTATAGGAAAATGTAAGTAGATGAGCAAGTGCCTCGTGGTTCCCCCTGTAGAGAGGTCACAGGGTTGATTGACGAACCACACCACCCGAGTTCGATCCCTAGAAGATGCAAATTTAGAGAAATTTTAAAGAGTTAACCGTGCTGGCATGGAAGTAGCAAAAATGATGGGTGACCCCCTGGAAAGTAGATTTAGGCTTATGGGGCTGGGTTTTAGATTGGGCTTACTTTGGACTTTCTATAGTGCGCTATTTACCTTGGGTGTTAACGGGCCCCGGGGTAGTCACGAGGTTAACGGGCCTCGGGCCCCCTACTTGTAGCCAACCGTTCATTATAAAAATATAAAAGAAAATTTTTTTTAAAAAAAAGATGAGCAAGTGCCTCATTGATAGAACATTGGCTCACCACTAAGGGTGTATACAAATCAAATAAAATGTATTTGATTTGTGATTTGTATTCGCTATATTCGAATTCGAATCCGAATAAAAATCATATTTTAGATTCGAATTATTTTCAAATTCGAATACAAATATTAATAGATTCGATTCATTTATCATTCAAATTATTCGAATATTATAATCTATAAATAAATTTATATATATTCTAATATATTAAATATTTGTGCACATATAATTTTATATATATTTAAATATTATAATTTATAATTAAATTTATATATATTCTAATAAATTTTTACTACATTTTACATTATTATAAAGTAATAATTTAATGTCTTTAAGAAATTTGTTTTAAGAAAAAATTACTAATATTTTCGAATTCAAATATTCGAATACGAATTCAAATATGTCAAATATCTATCGAATCGAATACGAATGGTTTTTAAAATTCGAATTATATACGAATCCGAATTCGAATGCATATCACTTTAATCGAATACGAATCAGATAGTGATATATTTGCTTCGATTCGATTCGTATACACCCCTACTCACCACTCCGTGAAAAGGGAATTATTGGTAAATGGAATCAATGACCATGCAGTCGCCCTCCCTACACTACATTTGGTTCAAAGAATTTTAACGGGAAAAAAAAAATAATTTTATCTCATTATACTTACCGAAATAGGAGGAATTTGATTTTTTTCTCTCACCTTAGTCTTTTTTGCTTTCTCATTTTCTTTTTCTTCCATTTTTTTTCTTATCTAACAAAATAAAAAAATGTTTTTTTCATTTTCTTTTTCTTAACTTTCTCTTTCAAATTCCTTGTGATACAGAAACGAAGAATGACTAGGGTTTAGATCAAATGCCCACGATTTGACTTCGATACATGTAGATTTTGCCATTTTGGTGAATGGACTTTACTTAATTACGAACCCGATACTAACGAGCTAGCTAGACATTAAGCAAACCTAATATATACCTTAACAGATTAGTCCGATTCAAGGATAAATAAAAATTAAATGAGAAAAAGACTAAACTAAAAGTAAAAGTTGAAAAGAAATATTAAAATAAGAGGTTTATATTTTTATTTTTGAAATAAAAGTTAAAATGTATTTACAGTGTCAATTATGACTATATAAATTACTCAAAAGTATTATGAAATATTTATATACAGTGTCACATTACCACAATGCAAATCTATATTTTAGAACAAAAACATGGAGTTCATTTTAATATTTTTTTATATTTTACTTGTATTTGGGGTAATTTCAGAAATTAAAGTTATACTTCCATTTACCTATTTAGCAAAGCAAACAGTTTAGTACGCCTATGTACCTTAAAACACTAAGTAACATTTTTTTTAAATTGAGTAGTCAATAATACCTTTTTTTTCTTAAAAAATAAAATTAAAACTGAGTAGTTAAAACTAATGCACAAAGAGAAATAATTTAAGGCTAAAAAACTTTTTCTTAAATAGAAAGTCACACTTCCTACCTCCCATAAAACTTTTTAAAGGCAAATAGACGTTTCATAAAAATGTAGAATTTTGATACTACCCCTTGTCCCTGGAAATCCTTTTTTTTCTTTTTTTATTCGACCAAAAAACTTTTTCTCATTTCTATAAAAAAACTATTTTTATCTCCATTAATTTTTAGTCTACCTATCACATTGCATCTATTCACTATTAATCTATCTATCGAATCCTAATTTTACCAATCACATTCGAGAACATTTTAGGAAACTTAACACTAAAATACACTCTCCTTAAAATTCCTTAAAAATCAAAACACCCAATGTTTTGAGGGACAGAGGGAGTATTATTTTGGAAAAAGACAAAAATAGAAGTAAAACATAAAAATACACCAAAATAGAAATTCTATATATGTATTTATTTACTAAATAGGAGTTAAAATGCATATAGGCTATCAATACTGATCATATACATTATTAAATTTTTTTTGTAAAATGTCCATATTTTTCCACAACGCATATTCCTCTTTTGAAATAAAAACATGGAGTTCTTATTTTGGTACTTTCTCTATGATTTACTCCTATTGAGGGTGATTTCTTTATTATTGCCACTAATTTTACCCTTATTTTATACTCTCTCTGTTCCATAAAACTCTTACCATTTCATTTTTTTCAATTCCCTAAAACATTTTCACTTTCTATTAAAAAACCACTTTTATCCATACATTGTCATACCCTCCCTATCACATCATACTTTTTCACTAATAACCAAACTATCACATCTTACTTTTACCCATCACATCTGGGGCAAAATTGGAAAGTCAACCAAAATTATACTTTCCTTATTTTGGTCCAAAGTCAAAACATGAAGTGTTTACAGGAAAGGAGGAAGTATTAAGTTAGAATATAATTTGAAATATAGATGAGTCATATTTAAAAAATAATACTCCCTATGTCATACAAAAATTTTTTCCTTTTCTTTTTCATCCGTCCTAAAAAAATTTTTCTTTTTTTATTAAAAAGTCACATATCCTCATATTAATTCTTAACTTACCTATCCAGTCACACTTTTTTCTACTCTGTATTAATCTACTTATCATAACTTACTTTAATTTATCCATCACATTAATGAGCATTTTTGGAAATTCAACACCAAAATACAGTTTTTTAAATCTTTTAAAAGTCAAAATGAAAAGTTTTTTGCAGGACGAAGGGAGTATCAAATTATATATTTTTAGAAAACATTTTTTTCATCCTTGAAAAAGTTTATGGAGAGAGAAAGTATCTTTTTTCAAAGAAATACTCCCTGTCCCATAAAATATATTTCTCATTTCTTTTTTTATATGTTCCAAAAAACCTTTTTCATTTCTAATACTCCCTCCATCCCTTAATTTTTGTCCACTTTTGACTTTTGGAACTGTTCATCTAAGCATTTTGACTCATCGAATTCTCTCAATGTGTAAGCCTAAATATAGTCATGTGTGAACTTGTTTCATTTATCTTAACATATAGATTATTAATAT